CCTAAAAAGCCAAACCAGATCAAAGATTTTGTCAAATTAAGTGTTTGGATACGTTTCGTAATCCACTGTTCAAGTTTCTTCCAGAAAGTTTTGGTTTCATCACAGTCCCAATATACATGGCATAAGGTTTCAACAGAATCATTACACAAAGAATATATTGTATTGTCCACCATATTGTGAAGTCCGTTTTTGGTGTCCCCAAAAAGCGGCAATACTCACTCACTGTAAGTAGCCTTGGCCACAAAATCCTGCGAATGAAAACCACTGTACGGTGCTGTGAGCTATATTTCAGCTTTATCACAGCTGCGTGTAAATGATCAAATCTGGACCAGACAAACCAGGGGTTGATATCATGACAAACAACTCTAACCGTCGAGTGTACATTGAACCACAACAGGAAACTGACACAATCTAACCACCTGATATTCATTTTAGTCGATAACCCGTGAAGATCCGGGTTAAAATTGATCTTCTGTAACCCATGCTTGTCGTAAGAGGCGACTAACGGAATCGGGTGGTCAGACTCGCTGGCTTGGTTGACACATGTCATCGTATCCCAATTGCGTAGATCGATGCTCATGCTGTTGATCGCTGGATTGTCTGGTCCAGACTCGATTATTTACAAGCCGCCGCCATATAGCTGGAATGTTTCTGAGGTGTGGCGTAAAACTAAACTCACTCACTAGTCGTGGCGTATAGTGACGTATTCCAAACCGGAGGCCCAGTCTCTGGTGTCCCCCGACGTGATAGTGCTGGATTGTTGCTAAAAGCGGCGTATAACTTAACTCACTCACTCACTCCAAACCGGAGTCCACATGGAAGTCGCGCCCTGTGAGTATAATAGTCGTACCCCGCTATATCGCACCGGTCAACGAATGCCAGTCGGGTTTAGGCCGGCAAACCTTATCTGTGGCCGATATTGACAGAATCGAGAATCGATGTCTGCCGTGGTGGAATATACGGTTACACATGCATATGACACCCTACACCTGCACTGACAAGTTCACCTGCCCGGTCGCACACGCACCTGTTTGCATGTCATATTGTCCCTAAACTGTTGACGCGACGGATATTAACTCTCACATTATCGACACCATTTCGTTCGATGAAAAAATACAATAATGTTATTATTCTGTTATGATTGGCCCAGCGCATAGGGGATTCCGTGGTAGAATAGTATTCCGTTTATCCCTGTAGAATCCCTTAAGCGCATATAGGGTTTCAGGGTAGAATTAGATTCAGTAAATCCCTGTAGAATCCCATTAAGCGCATAGAGGGTTCCGGGGTAGAATTAGATTCAGTAAATCCCTGTAGAATTCCTTAAGGGCATAGAGGGTTCCGGGGTAGAATAGTATTCAGTAAATCCCTGTAGAATCCCTTAAGCGCATAGGGGATTCCGGGGTAGAATAGTATTCCGTTTATCCCTGTAGAATCCCTTAAGCGCATAGGGGATTCCGGGGTAGAATAGTATTCAGTAAATCCCTGTAGAATCCCTTAAGCGCATAGAGGGTTCCGGGGTAGAATAGTATTCAGTAAATCCCTGTAGAATCCCTTAAGCGCATAGAGGGTTCCGGGGTAGAATAGTATTCAGTAAATCCCTGTAGAATCCCTTAAGCGCATAGAGGGTTCCGGGGTAGAATAGTATTCAGTAAATCCCTGTAAAATCCTTGCCACATGAGAGATTCCGGGTAGAATAGTATTCCGCTTTTGTAGAATCCCTTAAGCGCATAGAGGGTTCCGGGGTAGAATAGTATTCAGTTTATCCCTGTAGAATCCCTTTAAGCGCATGGAGGGTTCCGGGGTAGAATTCAGTTTATCCCTGTAGAATCCCTTAAGCGCATAGAGGGTTCCGGGGTAGAATAGTATTCAGTAAATCCCTGTAGAGTCCCTTAAGCGCATGGAGGGTTCTGGGGTAGAATAGTATTCAGTAAATCCCTGTAGAATCCCTTAAGCGCATGGAGGGTTCCGGGGTAGAATAGTATTCAGTAAATCCCTGTAGAATCCCTTAAGCGCATGGAGGGTTTCCGGGGTAGAATAGTATTCAGTAAATCCCTGTAGAATCCCTTAAGCGCATAGAGGGTTCCGGGGTAGAATAGTATTCCGTAAATCCCTGTAGTGAGTGAGTGAGTTGGGTTTTACGCCGCTTTTAGCAATGTTCCTGCAATATCACGGCGGGGGACACCAGAAATGGGCTTCACACATTGTACCCATGTGGGGAATCGAACCCGGGCCTTCGGCGTGACGAGCCAACGCTTTAACCACAAGGCTCCTCCTCCTCAAACACACACACACACACACACACACACACACACACACACACACACACACACTGTAGAATCGCACAAGAGATTCTGGGAAACAACAACACACACACACACCTGTAGAATCCCTTAAGCGCATAGAGGATTCTGGGATAGACTAGTATTCAGTAAATCCCTGTAGAATCCCTTAAGCGCATAGAGGATTCTGGGATAGACTAGTATTCAGTAAATCCTGTAGAATACTTGTGGTATCCATCCAGTGAGAACTGGGAGTCTGCAATGTGTGATCCTGATCACTGTTGTCAACCATTGGTTTGTCTGCATGACCAAACTAAATATTTAGATACTTCCCAGAGCTGGAATATTGCTGATTGTGTCGAAAATAACATTTTGGGCTCATGTTTAGTGAGTTTTGAGGGGTAGCGGGAGGGTGTAGGCAGTAGCCTTTCTTTAGAGCCATTCTTTAAAGTATGTCTGTATATATCTGCTTCACTATATGGAGGAGTGACTGAGTGAGTGAGTGAGTGAGTATAAGTTTACGCCGCCTTTAGCAATATTACAGTAATATCACTGCATGGGACACCAGAAATGGGCTTCACACGTTGTACCCGTGTAGGGAGTCAAACCAGGGTCTTCAGCGTGACGAGAGGACGCCTTAACCACTAGGCTATCCCACCACCCCCTATAAGCAAGATGGGGGCGGTGGGGTAGCCTAGTGGTTAAAGCGTTGGCTCGTCACGCCGAAGACCCGGGTTCGAATCCCCACATGGGTACAATGTTTGAAACCCATTTCTGGTGTTCCCCCGCCGTGATGTAGCTGGAATATTGCTAAAAGCGGCGTAAAACCAAACTCAGTCAGTCAGTATAAGCAAGATGCATGAGAATCGTCAATATGCCCGTCATTGAATGATAAAGATCTCATCTCACGTCATGCAGAACTTCTGCTAACTTCACACAAACGCATATTCCAACTAAAATGTATATTTGAAATAAGACTATGTTTTGGGTGTTTTTCCAGTTGTTTATGTAAATTAATTCAGACTCAGGTCCAGTATGGGAGTAATTCTATAGCTAAGGCTGTCAGGCCTGTTTGTCGTAGTGGAGAGCGCAGATGTTCTCTAATGCATTCACATTAAAATGATTAAATATATTATCATATTTAACACTGTTGGTCTGCTGGTCCAATCGACATATTTCATGACCATCATATGTGACCTTAAAATATAGGTTTGTTATTTTTTAAAGCAATATGGAAATGAAACTTCAAGCAGAATATGGGTCACAGATGTCCCAGTAGTCTACAGCGCTGCTATTCACGGTACAGAGTTCGAGCTGTGTCCATTCGACATAAGAACGTATGAGTTATGGGTTTGAATCCCAGTTCGCCCGGATCCGGGTTTGTCAGAACCATCCCCCTGCTCATGGGTTTCTCCAGTTTGGTAAACGTTTGTTTGTTTAAGGCCACGCTGAGCGATATGGACCAGACAATCCAGTGATCAACAGCATTGGCATCGATCTACGCAACTGGAATCCGATAACACGTGTCAACCAAATCAGCGAGCCTGACCTCCCGATCCCGTTAGTCGCCTCTTACGACAAGATATGATCAACATGTGAAGATCCGGGTTAGAATTGATCTTCAGTAACCCATGCTTGTCGTAAGTGGCGACTAACGGGATCGGGTGGTCAGGCTCGCCGACTTAGTTAACACATGTCATCGTTTCCCAGTTGCGTAGATCGATGCTCATGCTGTTGATCACTGGCTTGTCTGGTCCAGACTCGATTATTTACAGACTGCCGATATATTTAATACTGCTGAGTGCGGCTTAAAACTAAACTCACTCACTACATGTGATCAAAGATGAACTGAAAGAAATACCTGGATATTCGAGGGTGGCTTTACGCAGGCCTTATAAAATATTTAAGAAAGTATATCCTATAAACAAGAATCGATATAGGCAGTTGAAATGACATGCCTCTAACAACCACACCAGTAGACCGTTTATGTAAAAACTGCATGTTAGATATTTTAGTAGAACGACATTGACACGAATCCCGTCAGATTGTGTTGTTGCATAATGTCAAGTAGCCTTATCTATGTCTGCCCACACCGGGAACGCGCACCTGTTGACGGTCACCTGTTGCCGAGCGAAATCAACATGTGTCAATCAATGTCTTGATCGTACAATGCACTTAATTGTTGGAGACAGCTAAACTTTTCATAATCACATATTAATAGTCGCCTAAATTGTACAGCAGTTGTTTTTTCACATTTCAAAATAAAATATAATGGAAATTGCATTGTCCAGCAAAAATTGAAATGTCTGACAGATATGTTATATATTGATCCATCGTATGTAATGTATATTCCATATTCCTACGTAAACTGTCATAATATTTCTGAGGGAAACATCTCTTTATACCATATGTTTCATGCTTTTAATCACAACTTAAACATTTTCGGGTCGGCGCGTATTAAAATAGATACATGTTTACATAAATAGTCGATAGCTTGATCTGTTCCGTGAATGGATTTTTAGACCATTCGACACTTTTGTGATAAAAGTAATGATTTTTATCCGTCATGACGTACTTCAGCGGAACATGTGACGAAAAACAGTCACATTAGTTGTAGAAAAGTTATATAAAATCAAGGTATGCTGTTGCAAGAGCCATTAAAATATCGATTATCCGTTGTCCGTATGAGCGAAAACCTGTTACCTTGAGCGCTTAGTCGGAGACAGCAAAACGTGGCCTGTTTAGTCACGGGACTTGAACAGCTCGCGACACGCGACTCTCGAACACACACATGTTGCTTGTCATGTCAGTAAAATGAAGAAGATGGGGGTCGCGAGGGGGGCAAGGGCCTCCCTGACGGATTCAGACGATGACATGTTTGTACCAAACCCCACCTCGACGTCCAAATTGGTGACTTTGGAGTCGGCCCGAAGAAGAGAGTTTCTCAGTTGTGGAAGTTTGTCGTCGGATAACGAAGGTGGCGTTTGGGACAGCGAAGTTGAAAACAAACATGGCTTCGGGTACAAACTGTCGAGGCAGGGTTCCATCGTTGATGGCTTGCTTCATGAAATATACGACCGGTGGCATGGGAGTTATAGGGACAGCTTCGACAGTGACACATTCACCGAATGTTCCAGTACATCGGAGGTGTTTCTCTCAAGATGGGACTCTACGAATTCTCCATACGAACGTCGACATGCCAGACAGTTCAGTAGGGCATTTCTCGAAAACCAAAGTAAGTTTTATTTTGAAAGTTTTAGAACGTGACATTAGCTAGAATTGAAGTACAAAGTAGTTCGTCTTGGTATGCATGTTGTGCTATGTATGTTTAGTCGATATTTCATTCTAAACCTGCGGATAGACTGCCATATTAGCTGGCAAGCTGTTGAATGTATAGTTGACGTGAGGCTCCCTATGAGTGGGCGGGGCACAATGTGTCACTTTTCGATTGTGTTTCAGATCATGTTAGTAAAGCTTTGATTTGAAAAGCTACAGTACCTGTATGCAGAATAATCAAGAAATGTAAGACTAAGAGTATATGCACCACTGGACATAATAAGAGTTGGAGTGTCAAATACAGTTCACTTTAGGAGTGAACTGGATTGAGTGACATTAGCATCAATACATCCCCTACTCACAGCCAATAAAAAGGAAGGCTATCCAAAGGCCTCTCTTGTTGCATAAAATGGTTTCCAAACCAGTTTGGGGTATACACAAAATATAATGGCAATAGGGTGGTGGGTTAAAGCATTGGTTCGTTACGCTGAAGACCCGGGTTCGATTCCCCACATGGGTACAATGTGTGAAGCCCATTTCTGGTGTCCCTCGCTGTGATATTGCAGGAATGTTGCTAAAAGCGGCGTAAAACTAAACTCAGTCAGTCAGTATAATGGTAATACCATGCAAAAAGTAACTGTTACTTAAACCTGTTTCAGTAATCCACTTATTAAGCTTATAAAGTATATAAAGATGAATAATGAGGTTTTGAAATATTTTTACTGTAAAAAAATAATTACTTTAAAAGATTTATACTGAAAAGGTTAACCTGGTGACTATTCCATCAGTCCATGAGGTCCAAAATCCCACACAACGTGGTGCATGACCTCTTATCCTAATATTATTGGTATATTTAAAGTTTTATCATTCTGAATAAAGAAAGGTAGAGATTTTTAATATTTAATAAAATAAACTAGTTACGGTTCACCCTCTTAATTCTCCATTATAACTAACTGTCAAAAGCAAATGCATTATTAACATTATTATATGTTTTATCTATTATTTCAAAAATAATTTTAGTAGTAATTTTGTTAGATACAATCAAAGCTTCATTCATTTTCGCATTGAAAAGAAGAAACATAGGTCTAAGTTTGAAAACCTTATCGAACTGTAAATTGCTAAAAACAGTCTCAGATCTTCAGATTCTTGTTTCAAGATTGTTTTAGCAAATATATTTCAGACACCTCAATAATTATTTCCTGAATGGTGTTTTCACCAAGAGATCTCAAAACCGTTGCACTCTCGTCTTCTGTGCTTTCTGTTCAGATTGTCTTAGGACGGGATGACTGTCAAAGGGATGGAAGCACATTAGGAAAGAAGAGTGGAGTTTGTCACAGATCTCATAACTTAAAGACTTTTGAGACACAGCAAATATATATATTCCAGGGAAAAATCTGTCATCTGTAGGGATCCCTGGATTGTCTGGTCCAGACTCAATTATTTACAGACAAAATAGGACTTTCTGATGAGATAGCTACTGACTTGTTGAGGTCAGGGTCATATGTATGGTCAGATCACACACAATATAAAATGAGCTACCAAATCTTCATGAAGAAGTTAAACCCAAGGGAGGGACAGACAGCGTCACGATCACCACACCCTTGATCTTGGTCAAGCTGACAAGAATCCCCTGGTGTTGCTCTGCATTACGTGTGGGCTGCCGCCATTTTGCTGGAATATTGCTGTCTTAATGGACACAATCTATGATGATTCGGCATAAAGGTACATAAATATAAGTAATGGTAACTCAATGTTATAAAAAGCCAAAGTGAGATTAAACCACCATGCTACTTTAAGTATAGCTGTAACATTAATTTTTGATCATTTTAGAGCAAATGTGAAGAAATAATACCGTTTTTTTAACCAACTGCCAACTAGACAGTGTAGAAAAACAGCATTCAAATTTGATTTCCCCTTAGACACAATGCATTTTTCCAATTTAAGAAAGTCTTCCTGTGCCTCTAACTAAATAATAGTATGTTAGATATTTTCATTGTTCTGATAAAGGGCAGTTATAAGAATGTATTTTTGTGAAAAAAAAAAAACTGATTTTCCCAAATTTTTTTACCCCTCTCTTGGGGGTCAGGGCATGTGAAAATCCCCAGCACCCAGACTACAATATACCATCTCAAAAGTCTTTTTCATGCTTTAAGTATAGCTGTAACATTAGATTTGATCATTTCAGGCTATTGAAACAAGAATACCTTTCAAAACAATTGCCCACTAGAAAGTGTAGAAAACACCTATAAAGTTTAATTTTTCCTTAGCGCCAATGATGTCTAAGTTTGTAAAACTGATGAGAAAGCAGTTATTATCGAACTGCTTAAAACTAATTTTCCCAAATTTTTAAATTCCCCAGCACTCAGACTACAATAAAACAGTCATGCAGATCTTCAGCTATTCTTTTAAACAATTTGCCCACTAGATTGTTTTATTTTTCCTTAGACGCAATGCATTTTTCAAATATATCTTCCTGTACCTATAACTTATCAATAAACCTTAAATATTTGTATAGATCCTGATAGAAAGCAGTTATTAGAATGTATTTTGTGAGAAAAGCGTAAAAACTAACCTCAATAATTATTTGCAAACACCCTGAATGGCTTTCAAAAAATATGTTTTCACCAAGAGATCTTTTTATCTGTATAAATTGCTAAAAACAGTCTCAGATCTTCAGATTCTTGTTTTCAAGATTGTTTTAGCAAATATATTCGAACACCTCAATAATTATTTCCTGAATGGTGTTTTCACCAAGAGATCTACGTCTGTTGCCAAACCGTTGCACTCCCTCGTCTTCTGTGTTTTCTGTTCAGATGTCTTAGGGACGGGATGACTGTCAAATGGATGACATATATTTTGAGAAAATCTGTCATCTGTAGGGATCCCTGGATTGTCTGGTCCAGACTCAATTATTTACAGACTGCTGCCATATAGCTGGAATATTGCTGAGTGTGGTGTAAAACTAAACTCACTCACTCAGTCATCTGTGGGATGACTCCATGCGTAGCTACTTGTGTATTTATGACACTACAGTGTAGACATCTTGCCTCGTTGATGACGTGGTCATTGTGTAATGACGATCATAACTCCCTTTCTTTAACAATCTGAGTGCTAGGATCTCTTTGTGAAATGGGGGTGGTGGGGTTGGTAGCCTAGTGGTTAAAGCGTTCACTCATCACCCCGAAGACTTGGGTTCAATTCCCCACATGGGTACAATGTGTGAATTCCATTTCTGGTGTCCCCTGCCATATTATTGCAGAAATATTGCTAAAAGCGGCATAAAACCAAACTCACTCACACTTTGTGGAATGGTGTCCTGCTCCACATTCAGACATCTCTCTGAACACGAGGAAGTTTCTCTGCTTCTCAATGCATGACGGACCAGCTGTGCAGGAGTTAATCAGCAAATATGTGTCTAAATACAATGTGGACGTTATTTCCTGTACAGCGGCACCTGTTGATGTGTTGAATATTTGTTATTTGTATCGTGATCGGGTATACTTCCTCACTTGGTAGTCGAATGAACCAGTTCAGGTGTCACTTTCTCCATGTATAATTACATTTCATGGCCCGTGTTATTTTGTTTTATTAATCCCCACCTGGCCTCATCCAATTATGTAGCACTCGTTATTCAATTACATGCTGTTGTTAATGTTAATCTGACGTTTGCAGCAACATACCATATAAATACACTTCTCATCACTTGGTTGTATTTATAATCACTCTGGCCTTATAACAATCTACACTGAAACGTCGCTCAATGCAATAAAGGAGAAGTTGTTATCCATAAAAGTTGTATGCTGAATTATTGGCTCACCAACTTCTAGAATGCCTATAAAATAATTAATTACAGCATTTCCCCAAAATGTGCTGTGCAAGTTGTGTCCCATTTCTGTGCCAGAAATCTGTGATATTGGGTTCAGATCCCAGTTTAACAAGATTTTGTTTCGTTCGTTCTCAAAACCATACAGGGACCCATGTTATGTTGATGGTCCCAGTGTCAGGGACATACCATAACTGGAATCCTTTTGTTATGTTAGACCCCTGGTCTATCATTGTCCCATGTCAAGTATCCGGGTAAAATACATAGAACATCCAACTGAAAAATAATGCATTACCAATTCACTTGAATGCGTCACGGAATATATTTATAAAAAAGCAATGACATGACATGTAGGACTAGTGTGGTACTGTCAGTATAGGATGAGGGATTTTTTATGAAATCATTTCCATTATATTTAAGTTGGTTTTGATTAGGTATGAACATACCTGCTTAGTAAACTTACTCAATGACATAATACTTAGGTGAGTAAAATGACTGAAATACGCGCATATTTGAAAGTAGTGGGTTCGGAAAATGATACCCCCGACATTCATAATACCCACTCCAAAAAATACAGTGGGTACATACCAAAAGATGTTAAAATATGGTACTTGTTGGTACCTGCATCTGACATAATTATTGCGCTACAATACAGGCATTAATGGGTACTTATCTGGAGGACTGGTTGGCTCCGCCCGGAGTCAGTCGTGGGTTGTGTCTGAGTATGGTATTCATGCTTCACTGCGGCATATAATATCTCAGTGGGCTAGTGGGCTAGCACTTAAAACCAGCTTAAGTCTGGGCTAGTACAAGCAGCCGCACTTACACATACACACGCATGCACGTCGTCATATGAGCGAAATATTCTCAAGCACAACGTTAAACTCAATTTCACCTCACCTCACTCATTCAGTGGAAAAGATCATTTTTCTAGTAGCCAACAGAACCAGTGAAACCAGAATAAAGTCACTTGTTTTTATATTTTCACGACAAACTGATTAAAATAAATCTTTACTCCTGTGCTTTATCTGTGTGAGATCTGACGCACCTCCACTCGTGTCTACGGTCAGGCTAGAGGAAATGTCTTATCAGTCAGTGTCACCGCTTCTAAAATCTCAATTCGCGTGAAAACTGGA